GTGTTTAGGTTCGAAAAAACTAGTGACGTGTAGGACTTATGTCAAGTGACGAGGATTGGAGTTGGAGGACTCTGGATGTCGACTTGCATTAATTGTAGCATTCATGCATCATGTATATTGGAGATGGGCAGGACTTTGGTCCAATGATGAGTAAGACTTCAGTCTAGTGACGAGTAGGACTTCGGTCCAAGTGTCGAGTTGGGATACCTCAAAAACATACCTTTGAATATCCTAGAGATTGGTACCACATGCATTGGAGAAGAAGAGATGAACATTGCATACATAATTTCATCTGATAATTGATTGTTGTTGTTATTCAAGTTTGTGATTATGATTGATTAAATATAATGATTAAACTATCTTTGTTGTTTCATACACCGTTTGCATATGTAATTTATTTCTCACCCCTTTTCTGTGTGTATGTTATGTTGATTCTCAAGTAAAGACTGAGAAGCGTTAGCCGTTACTTATTTTGGAGGATGGCATAGTTGACCTACCCGCAGATTTATTTCCTATTTGTTTGTTGTATCTTATCGGATTTTTAGTTTTGTTATGTCATTTTGATAGTGTAACACTGGGTTGGGAATACCATATTTCGTTTCGAAGTTGCTTCCTTGAATAATATTGTTATGTTGTTTCGAAGTTAATTCTGCAATTTGAATTAAAGATTTAATGTTGAGAGATATGTGTTACACCCTATTTTGTTTTACCTTCATATTTTCCGCATACGTTTGTACAAAATATATGTTGGAGTTTAAGGTGTTATAATAACCATCTAGGCATACTCTAGGCAGTTTCTATAGAAGAGAAACTCGAGGGATGGTCACTCATGGGATCCAAATGGCAAACCCAATAGCTTTTGACATTAAAAAATATGTGATTGCTTGTTAGAATGACACTTACAATGACAGAGGATCAGTTTTAGACCTATATGAATACTTGAAAAAGTTGGAAATTTTACCCCATACCCCTATAATTATACCCATACCCCTACACTAAAATTGTTTGGACCAAAATACCCTCGTATAAATAATTATAATTTTTTTCGTTTGTTTACCGGAAGACTTTAAGTATGTCTTCCGGTTCATATTTTTTTTCGTTTGTTCACCGGAAGTCTTTTTGCAAGTCTTCCGGTTCATATTTTTTTTCGTTTGTTCACCGGAAGTCTTTTTGCAAGTCTTCCGATTTATATTTTTTTCGTTTGTTCATCGGAAGTCTTTTTGCAAGTCTTCCGCTTTATATTATTTTTCGTTTGTTCACCGAAAGTCTTTTTGCAAGTCTTCCGGTTCATATTTTTTTTATTTGTTCATCGGAAGACTTTTTGCATGTCTTCCGGTTCATGTTTTTTTTTTAATTTTTAAATTTTTTAAATATTCAACTAGACAAATATTTTAATATGTTATTTATTTTAAAAAACAAACAGGCTCTCCTCCACCTCCAAATTCTTCCTTCCCAAAACATAAAAAGTTTAATTCTTGAGAAAAACTTTCAGCTGCTTTAGCTTCTCTTTAATCACAAAATCACTCCTCTCCTTAACCTCGATATCTCTCAAAACTTTTTGAACAAGCTTAAAAAACTCCTTTTTTATAGATCAAAATTTAAAGATTGCACAACAGTCTCTCCTACAATTGCAGTAGAAACTTTATCATAAAATATAATGTATTATTTGTTAGTGAAAGTCAAAAACATCTTTATCTCCAAAAATATCATGTTAAATGAACAAAACTTTAACCATAGACAAAAATCTGAATTCTTCTATGCAGACCTACGCTTGATTCTTTATCTAGGAATAAAATGGAAGTTAAGCAAGATCACAATGTTGTAAAAATAAGTAGGCATGGAAAATATTGAAACAATTACACATGTATAATTGTAAGATCATCAGCACTCCAATAAATTAGAAGGAGAAATCTAAAGAAGTTCAGAACTATTTGATTAGTATTATCTTTTGTCTAGTTGAATATTAAAACAAATTAAAAATTAAAAAAAAAACATGAACCGAAAGACTTGCAAAAAGTCTTCCGGTGAATAAACGAAAAAAAATGTGAATCGGAAGACTTGCAAAAAGACTTTCGGTAAACAAACGAAAAAAAATATAAACCAGAAGACTTGCAAAAAGACTTCTGGTGAACAAACGAAAAAAAATATGAACCGGAAGACATACTTAAAGTCTTCTGGTAAACAAAAAAATATTATAATTATTTATACGAGGGTATTTTGGTCCAAAAAAGTTTAGTGTAGGGGTATGAGTATAATTGTAGAAAAATTTTTACGAAATTTGTTCACTCTAGTGTCCAACATAAGTAACACAAAACTTGAAGAACTCGATGTTTTACATTCACATTAACGGTAATAAATAAATACTAGGTGTAGCTTTGTTGAGAGGTACCATTTGGACATAGAAAGAGTTAGATTATAGTTTGGAAAAAAATGGATGACATAACAAACTTTGAGCAAGGTGACGTCGAATCTACAATGTGTGAGATAAGTTCAAATTTATGTCAAAGAGGAGTCCATCACATGGTATGGATGCAGTGACACAAGTACAATACTTCAATAGATAATTAAAGATAACACTTGAATGCTTTTGGATGATTCAATTGAAGGTACCATGAGAAACAAGTCTGACATAAAGGTAAAAAAATCTAGAGAGTGAAGGTGAGAAAATATACACAAGAAGGGGGGTTGAATTGTGTATGGAAAGTTTACTCCTTTTCTTAAAGCCTGTTTCAGAACCATAGATGTCAAACTCAGATTCTGATCCAAGTAAGAGGTTGAATCAGATCAGAGTCTGACATCAGATTTTGTTGCACAACAGAATATATAAGTAGACGTAAATAAAGAGACACACGATATATCATGGGTCCTCTCAACCCGAGAGTAGTCCAATCCCCTTGCAGCACAAGAGCATTTTACTATAATCAATCAGATTACAATTGCTTAAACTAATTTCTCAAGACTTCCTACTCAATCAAACTAGAACGAGACTTTCTTGCTTAAACCCTCGGTTCAAGAGTTCATGCTCAATCATCCTTGAATGAGACTTCCTTGCTTAAACCCTCGGTTCAAGACTTCCTGCTCAATCATCCTTTAATAAGACTTTCTTTCTTAAACCCATGGTTCAAAATTTCCTGCTCAATCAAACTAGAATGAGTCTTCCTTACTTAAGCCCATGGTTCAAGACTTCCTGCTCAATCAAACTAGATTGAGACTTTCTTGCTTAAACCCGTGGTTCAAGACTTCTTGCTCAATAAAACTAGAATGAGACTTTGCTTGCTCAAACACTAAGTCTGAGACATTTACAAATTCTAAACAGCAATTGATGATAGTAAATACAAATGCACTTGATACTCTTATCAATGGTGCATAGTTACAACACATATTCGGATGTCTTTAAGATTTCTAAGATAAACACTAATAAGAAATCTTAAGACCCTATGTACAAGCTAACAAATATACATAAGTGTTCTTGCTTGTATCAGATGTTTTTTGTGTTGTGTGGTTTTATTGACAGCTTATTCAAATACTTCTATAATATTTGAATCTTTAACACTTTCAGAGTTTTCAACAATAATCGACGAACCAATATTGATCAACTTGATAAGTTTAATCATCATCTTCTTCATATTCTTGAACTTCCTTTTATAGGACTAGGAAAATGGTCGTTGGAGGAGCAAGTTTGAAGAGATGAAGTGCTATTTCTAAGGCAGATTTAGAGCCGTTGCAAAACAAATATTTTAATCATATTTTGTGACCACTCTATTTCAAACGGTAACCATAACAGTTGGAACTAGATAGCCATGAGTGTAGGCAAACAACTCAGGCAACATGGAGAGTTGTATCCGGTTAGAAGTATTATCCATTGAATAAAAACAATGTTCATAGCACCTTTTGAATAACTAAGTATCTACTAAAAGATAATACAAACTGAAGATGTCACATCACCATCTTTGAGTCTTGCAAAACCAAGCTCTAGTTGACTCTGCCCATAAATTTGTCACTTTCATAAGACTTGTCAGCTTTGGTGTAGAGTACGCATCAGACGCTCCTCAAATCTTCAGGGTCTAAGTTGTCACCGAGAGGCTAAAACAACATACTAGAGATTGAAGCAGCATAGTAGAGTCTAAACCTTCAAATGCTGATGAAGATATTCATATTCTGATAATTCAAAATATGAGTAGTATTGCTTCTTCACTTATGCTTTCAACAAGATTAATTCATAATGAATTCTTAGCTTATGATTCTGCACACTTAAATAATTATTAGCAAACTCTACTATTCTTTTAAATACTTTGTTGTCATCAAAAATCTTATAAGAACATAAACAATCTTGTTTCAATGCAGAAAACATGACACAAAATGAAACTCTGCACAAGAAAAAGAGGTGATATAACCAAAGGAGAAGTAGCATTTAACTCTCAAATTACAATGTTAACAAGTCATAAACAAATTAAAGTCCATATTAAAGCCCAGGCAAAACAACACGCATATGATATTATAGGATTGCAACAAATGCAACAAAAAAAATTAGTTCATAGATGTGACTTTGTGGTGATGGTAATCCTAATGGCCATGTCTTAAATGAGGAAGTCAACTATATAGTCAACTATTAGAGAGACAATCACTACTCCAAGACATATAATCCGGAGTTGAAAGGTGGTCTTAATTTTAGGTGGAAAAATAATGAAAGGCAAATCTCAAATCAAGTAGCACATCAAAATCAACCACCAGAAATTGAATTATTGCATTGAGAAATTCCATGATTAATACACTCAACATCAATTGCATTGTATAATAGAGGCAATGCCATAAAAAGTTACAAAATATTTTGAAAAACAAAAAAGAAAAATCTGTGATGCGGTGTGGTGTGAGGGAAGGATCCCTCTCTCAAAAGAGCATACTCAACACCAACATACTCATCTCACATTATTGCAAAAAACCAAAAGAAAATCAAGCATAACCATTTTGTGATTACATAGATTCTACTTTCTTAACACCATTTACTTGCTACTTGCAAGCTGGTTGCGGATGAGTTTTGTGGCCGCAACCATGTTTGTGAGGGCTGGATTCACCTCGGTGTACTTGCGAGTTTTGAGACCGCAATCGGGATTGACCCATAAAATGTTTGTCTCAAGCACTGCAAGCATCTTGTTCATTCTGTCAGCAATTTCTTCGGTTGGTGGTATTCTTGGGGAGTGAATGTCGTAAACTCCAGGGCCGATTCCAGCTCCATACTTAACTCCATCGCGGAACACCCTTAGGAGCTTTTCGTCAGAACGAGAATTCTCAATGGTGATCACATCAGCATCCATGTCAATGATTGAGTGGATGATATCATTGAAGTGAGAGTAGCACATGTGTGTATGGATCTGAGTGGTATCCTGCACGCCAACATTGGTGATCCGGAAGGAATGGACGGCCCAGTCCAAGTATTGAGCTTGTGCTGATTTCCTCAATGGTAGCCCTTCTCTCAAAGCAGCTTCGTCGATTTGGATAACAGTGATACCGGCTTTTTCAAGGTCTTCTACTTCATCCTTGATAGCCAAAGCAATCTGATAGCAAGTCTCGGATCTGTAGAGCGATAAATACCGCGGCATTAACAATAAAGTATACAATGATTAATTTATAGAATTTTTCACACCATTTTATTAAGATGAGTCTGAATTTATACCTTGGCTGGTCATTTCGAACAAAGGACCAGTTGAGAATGGTGACGGGACCGGTAAGCATTCCCTTCATTGGGCGCTTTGTCATGCTCTGAGCAGTAGATGACCAGAAAACAGTCATTGGTTTTGGACGGCTCACATCACCGTAGATGATTGGTGGCTTCACACAACGAGATCCGTAAGATTGCACCCAACCATTAACAGTGAAGGCAAAGCCTGACAATTGCTCACCAAAGTACTCAACCATATCATTTCTCTGCAATGAAAGGAAACAAAACAATTAATAGGAAGTACAATCGGGAACCGAAATCATCATAATGATCTGCATAAAATATTGCAAAAGTATGAGGTGAATACAAAGTGTGTCAGTACTTAATAGAGAGAACTAACCTCAGGCTCTCCGTGTACAAGGACGTCAATATCGAGCTGTTCTTGGAGTTCAACGACTTTACGGATTTCCTCTTTCATTGCAGTAACATACTCTTCCTCTGAGATCCTGTAAAAAAATAACAAGATTAGAGTCAATAAAACACGGAAAATGGTGAAGAAAGCAGAGTCAAGTTATCAGCTCCCAGCATATCTTACTTGTTAGCCTTGTATTCACGTCGCACTCTCCTCAACTCAGGGGTCTGAGGGAAGGATCCAATGGTAGTGGTTGGAAGGACAGGAAGGTTGAGCTTCTTTTGTTGTGCGTCGAGTCTGGTGCTGACGTTTGTTGCACGGCGATGGTCAGAGCCCTTCAATGCGGCAGCCTGTGACGGAAATAAAGGATGCTATAATTAACACGAGAATGCATTTCACAATTCTGATTCAAAAAACGACGAGTTGAACACTCACAGCCTTCTGAACAGCCTCGTTAGTCACTCTTGGAGAGGACTTTCTTGAAGCCAGAGCTGCAGAATTAGAAGAGAAGAAGGCCTCATCTTTTTGGCCAGCTAATGCATTGGCCAATGCATTTACTTCAACGACTTTTTGCGCAGCAAAAGCTAGCCATGATTTAATCTCGTTATCCAACTTGGTCTCATTAACAAGATCAACGGCGGTGTGGAGAAGTGAGCAAGAGGTTGACACAACTAATTTATCTGCACACATTTTTGAAGAATCGATATATAAGGCCTTGTTTGATAAACAGTTTAATTAAGCTCTCATCATTTAAGTGCTTATGTATACCTTTGCCGACAACGTCCTCCAACCCATTTAATGTAATCAGAGAAGCAGTAAGATCGTTAGCCCAAATGTTCCTTCCGTCAACGACTCCCGCGAACAAGTATTTTCCACTAGGGAATCCACCCTTGATCAAATCAAGAGTCTTACTGCCACGGACTAAATCAACTCCGAATGCTGTGACACCGGGCAGACTTGTGAGGGTCTTGTATGCGTCAGCAGGAATGTCGGCAAAGTAGGTCTCAACGAGAACATTTAAACCCGATAAAGTGGAGGCAAGATCTGAGTATGCTGCAGTAAATGCATGCAACTGGTGAGGTTCAAGATCTAAGACAAGGGTAGGCTCGTCAAATTGAATCCACGAAGCGCCAGCTGCTTTAAGATCCTCCACAACTTCCCTGAGTTAATAATAATAAGCAAGTTAGAGAAGTAACATGGATATAGGCCTTGTGTGGATAAAAAGCCTAATTAAGTGCTTATCATTTAAGTAATTCTCTAGAAGCTAGATTCTTACTTGTAGACAGCAATGACTTTAGGGAGGAGTGTAAGAAGATCAAAGGATGGATCGACACCGTTAGCCGCCTTGGATAGCAACAAGTATGTTACTGGACCAACGAGGACGGGAACTGTATCTACTCCAAGCTGAAAGCAAAATTAAAGAAAAGATCGATAAACACATGAAAAGAATCCCACATAACCATAGCCATAAGTTAATGAAAATGACTATAAATGCATACCGCCTTGGCTTCCTTGTATTCATTCACGGCCTTGTGAGAAGCGTAAGTGAACTTCATATCAGGTCCCAATTCAGGGACAATGAAGTGGCTAAACCAATGCGCGTAAACACAGAAGTTCAGTAATTAAGTCACTATTATAAGCATTGAATCATTATAAATAATCAAGTACCGAGCAATCATCACTTACTAGTTGGTGTCAAACCACTTAGTCATCTCCATTGCAGGCACGGAGGCATTACCTCTGCCCATAGAGAAGTAGGTATCAAATCCAATCTCACCGCCGGTCCATCCGTATCTTGGTGGAACGGCACCGAGCATGGCGGTGGTATTGAGCACCTGATCATAGTATGCAAAAGTGTTGCTAGGGATGTACTTGATCCCGGCACTAGCCATCTGTTTCCAGATAGATGCCCTGAGATCAGCAGCCACCTTTTCCAAATCCTCGGCGCTGCTCTTCTTATCCCAGAATGACTCGAGGGCAAACTTGAGCTCTCTCTTGGGGCCCATGCGAGGATATCCAACAATGTGTGATGCCATTTTCTACAAAGCCAAATAAAAATTGCACAGAAATATCTCAGTCCTCTTATGTTCCATTTCAAATCACATTTTGTCATTAAAAAACTCAAAATCAAAAGCTAGATCAGTTTGTCATAGGCTCTAATTGAATCCCCTACATTCATAAATTCATATAGTCATTGCAATCGGTAAAGGAAAACCACATGATGAAGATCATGATTCAAATTTTAAATTTACATCCTATATGAAACATACAAACACAAACACGAACTCCAGAGAACCTATATATAACATATAAAATGTCCGCGATTCATGTAACACCAAGGTTATTACGATAAAGAATAAACTGTGATTAATTCACACTAAGAGGAGTGCATCATAACACATGTACCAACAGCACTCACGCAACACATTTACGTGATCACAACATGACTGCGACGTACAGTTATGGATCAACAAAAACAGATCTGAAAAAACATAATTGCGAAAACGTTGAAAGCAGATTAAGCAAGTTAACAATGAGATAAACGTAATAATTACCAGAATAATGATGATGTGAAATGAAAGAAAAGTGGTATAATTAGATGAATGAGAGGGAATAAGGAAGGAGTGTTGCAAGAAAAATACAAGATTATGTGAAGATTATATAGAATAATGAATGTGTATAAAGAGAAGAGAAAGAATGAAAATGGATGACATGTCTTTAGAGAAATTTAAGGAATATCATCAATCTGAGCTTCATGACCTTCAAAAGAAAAAGGTAATTATGCTGTTATGTTTAACTTTATATTTGAAAACTTCTTATTAAAAATTATAAGTAGTTTATTGTCATTTGAAAACCACCAAATTAATTAATGTTATTATTGTAATGGAAAAGGAATCATTTTTAATTCATATTTTTTTTTAATAATAACTGATACATTTGTATTCAAAAAATACACAAATAAATAAATTATGGGACAAATTTGTGTCATTGATAAATATTAAAAAAAATATTAAAATATTTGTTTTTTAAAAAATAAATATAAAACAAAGTTATTACGGGTAAATAACAAAAATGAAACATCTATTTTTTTTATGCAACTGTGACATCCACCAAATAATATTTTTAGTTTAAAAAAATCATAAATTTTTAATTAAAATAAATTATAAAATATAAGTAAAAGTGTATGTCATTGAATAAAATGATATTTAATTATGGACAAAAGTATATTGTTGATTCAAATATTTGTATATAGATTCAAATATTTAAATATATATACGAGAAAAAAATATCCTTCTTATAAATGAAAATAATTTTAATTTTTCCAAATATTAAATAGTATAATTTATCGATCACTTTTTCTAATATGTAAAAAGGTTAATGGAAAAAATGTTATTGTTATAAACGATAACAATTTTAATAAAACACAAAATTAAAACCTTTATAACGTAAACATGAACTTACAAATCAAAATATTAAATAATAATGGAAGAAAGTTTACTATTGGTTCTAATATTTTTGTAAACAATGTCAAAAGAAAAATAATATTTATATAAAAAATAATATATTGTTGATTCAAATATTTTTATATATGGAATGAATTATAGACACTAATTTATTATATCTTTTAAAAATAATAACTTTTTTGGTTGACCAATTTAATTATTTCAATATCATTTTTATTATATTTTGGAAAAAATACGCGTGTTGTAATACTTCGTCTTAATATTATTCGACTCTGACCATTTATTAATTGGTACAATTGAGACTTTTGGATAACATTAACATTGAACATTTTATCAATTAATACTTTTTTCTACCACACTTGTCAAGTTAGGCTTACTAACTTTCTAATGATACATTTATGTATCATTTTCTTTCCTTTTCTTTTTCAATATAGTAGGAGACTTGAGAGAAAGAAAAAAGATAGTAAGAGAAAATAGGAGAAAGGGAAAGAAGAGAGAAACCCTAGAAGTGGAAGAAGGAGAAGTACAACTCATCATCGTCATCAACATCATCTTATCTTCATTAATCACAACTTATTCATCATCATTCTAGAGGTGGGTTCTAGTTAGACACCATAGTTGTAGAAATTGGAACGTTATGTTTTGAGAATAGACGAAGTGTTAAAATGTATTTCCCCTACTTTCATGGATTTCTATGAATATGTGATAATTCATGTTGGTTGTGTTCTTTTGTTGCATATATTGTCGATGTTTTGTTAGTTTTGAGCTTGGGTGAAAGTGGGGTTGAATACCCTTTGAATTGCATAAATTCTGCAGGCCAGAATCATGAAATTGACGAGCTCGCACAATGACCCTCCAGCGAGGCAAACGCGATCTGCAACTCTACTACGGTCGCACTGCAGTCATAGAGGCATTTTGATTATGTCTCTTATTTGCCCAAAGTTCACACAAGGCGAGGAAACCTCGCATTCCCGTCGCACATCGAGCCTGGCAGTAATTGTTCCTTTTGTTTGTTTAACTGTTTGGTTATTTCATATGCATGTTTAATTGTACCATGAATTATTTTACATTGATTATTATGATTTATATGCATACTTACCATGATTGGTTGATTGTGATGATGATAATATGATGGGGAATCTATAAAGGAATGTGAGGAAACCTTAATGTAATTAAATGGAATGAACTAGTAAAGTAAATAGGATATGATAGTAGACTTAGATGACAATGCTTGTGTATTTGATGCCTAGGTGTGTATATTTGACAAGTAGTAGGTGAGGCATTATATAGAACATGGTTTTGGTTTGGTGTTACTTCGCGAGTAAGGTGAATGTGTTTGCCTTGACCACGTAGTCAGAAACAACCATTGAGATGTGTCGTCCCAAGAGTCGATGCTTATGCAGAGCACCTTTGGGATGTACGCACTATGATTTTGACTGATTTGAGTCCCGTGTGTACGAATGCAGCCTACGGGTGAAAGGCTTGAGATGGGGTGGTCCCATTGGAAGCGACGATTTATTTGGAAAGTACCTTGAATTTGAATCTATTTCATATGTCAAAGTAGTTACAATGATTTGTGACCCGTGTCGATAACTCTAGATGTAGATTTGGCCGAGGAAAGATGCATTGGTAGGGTTTCCGATTAGTGATAACTTGATTTGTTGAACTCAAGCAGCATGTTGCCATATATTGCAAGTTTTGTGAATTCAAGTCCCCTCCCTTTTTCCCTTGAGACTTGAAGTACTAGATGACTAGAACCTTGTAGAGCCGAGAGAATCCATAAGATAGGGAACCCACTGGGGTTACTGTAACACCCTACCTAAATAAACCCCCGTAATTTTTTTAAATAAAACATAAGAGTAATTAAAGAAACACACAAAACTTAGAATGTTACGACCAACATACAAAACCTGAACATTATTTTATTCACAGCAGAATCATAAACTCGTTTATGATTTCATGGTATGCAAAAGTTAACATGGAATCACATAATCCATCAAATAATAAATAAACATGATGAAGAAGATGTCCACAATATCAAAGAAAATATAAATCATAAAAATGTTCCAACGACTCTCCAGTGTTACAATCAGAGCAGAAACCACCTATAGAGAAATGATAAGGAAATCCATCTTCAGCTCACACCTGAGTCCTACTACGGAGTATCTGCACATTGTCTACGTGGAGGCAATGTTCAAACAGAAGGGGTGAGATATCATGATAATATAAAAGGAAGCATGTTAAACTGTTAGCATCAGGTTAAAACAACAATAACAATTCAAATAAACATCTCACATTAATCAACCATCAATATCACCACCACTTATTCACCAACCAACAGGAAATCACATGATAACGATTCAATTAATCATACAACACCACATATTTGGCAACATAGAAAAATATAATATCTAATGCAATGATACTCACGCTTGATTGAATGCTTATGCATGTGGTACCAATTTTTCGTGAGCACTCAAGTTTACCGTTTTAATCCCCGCCTCATAAGATCAGAACCACTCATTGATCCATCACCTCCGAATCAACTACCGCCCAATCCATACAATAGGATTTTAGGCTCAACAATAATGGACTATTTTTCCATAAATGTATGTAATGCGATTATTAATGCATACAACAACAACAACAGCATCATCGTGTACAATAACCCACCACCATAATTATTGTACACCGCCCAAATTGGCCAACAAGCATAAAAATGTATTTCGTATAGTATAGACATACATGTATATATTAAGAAATCATAATATCATCATCAAACATGCTTATTTTACACCAATAGCACCACAACAACCTCTTTATAACAACATTCAAGTTTTGCCACTTACAACAGGATTTCTTTACATGCACAACAAGTAATAGTCTTAATCTTCAACATATTAAAAATAAAAAATATATAAAAATATATCATCTACTTATATCATTTTATATTTTTTTCTCATTAGCTTTCCAACGCTTCAAACGGTTCGTCATTTGGATTAACGATTAAGAAGTTATGATCGAAACTGTTTCTGGCATTTTTCTGCCTATGAGTAGACACAAGGGTCGGCACGCAGGGTGCACAGGTTGATGTAAGTCCTTTGCGACGACGCATACTATTCAAATTTCCAAAATATTATATTCGGGTAGCATCAGATCGACCCAGGGGATCTTGGAGGTCGACACACGCTGTTCCGAACCCCAAAAATCACTTTTTTTAAAAGCTATTCCGCACCAGCTTTTCATACCATAGCCTATGCCACTAAACGCCATCATTAAAGATCCAATTTTATACCAAAATAACATCCTAAAATTCAATTATACTATGTTTTACTCATGGATTAACAACATATTATCATCAATTTCATACTTCCGACTCGAAACTCCAAAACTCAACCATGGAGGAACTTTCAACAATTTCTAAAACAGAAACACCACACACACCTATAGGTAAAGAACCCATCACATATCAGTTAACAAAACACCGTCTATTACAAATCAACTAACAATTTCATCATTTATCAATCATTCATAGCAATCATAACATAGAACAACATTCCACCCATAAGACA